GGGGGTGCGGTGGGGGAGCCGTTGACATCCCACTCGGTCACACCCATCTGCCGCAGGTGGGAGCGCGCGTGGCTCGACAGGCCCTTGCGGTTCTCGAAGAACTCGCCGCAGAACTCACAGCGGATGTCTCGTGCTGGCTCTGGGCCCGAGGCTAAGGCAGGAGGAGAGAGGGGCAGTTAGTGCCACACTGGCGGGGTCCCCTGCAGGCGTGTCCTGGTCAGCTGGGCGTGGGCAGCAGCGTGCCCACAGGCTGGGGTGGTGGTAGAGGGCAGGTGCAAGCCAGGGAGCTGAGGAGTGGGTAGGGGCCAGACACCCAGCAGGAGCCGAGGAAAGCTCCGGAGAGCACGTGGGCCCTCGCTCCTGGTGGAGGAGGGCAGGACCAAGACTCCACGGCTCTGCGGATCCCGACCGAGGCGGGAGGGCAGGAAGCGGCAGCCTAGATGCCACACGCTGTCCAGATCCAGGGCAGACGTGGGCCCTTCCATGTCAAGAGGCAGGACCTGCCCCCTTGGCCTTCGTTCTCAGGGAGGGTCATGGTCACAAAGGTCAAAGGCCAAGAGAGAGGGCCTAGCAGCCCACTGCCAAGCAGATCTCCGGGCAGAACCGGCCCACTGCCAAGGGTCCCTGTCTACTCCCTGCCCCAGCAGAGAGGGAGTAGGGAGGGGGCCGCGACCCCCCGGGGAGGGGCTCCAGGGCCCGCAGGGAGGAGGGGCGGCTGAAGCGAGAACCTACAGAGGTTGAGAGGAGATGGCTCCACATCAGAGGCCCAGAAAATGCCGGCGGCCGAGAGGTCCTGCTTCCCCCAGGGGCTGGCCATACCCGCGGCCTTCAGCTTGGCCTTCTTGGGGGGGGGGAGCAAGGAGGGGGCTGCGGAGGCGGGAGGAGGCCGCCCCAGCCCGGGTGGGAGGCGGAGCTGGACGCCGTCCCTCCTGATGAGCCCGTGGAGCACGTCTATGGGGGATCCCTTGGCGTCCGGGTCGCTGACGCCCAGGTGGCGCAGGTGGGCACGGGCGTGGCTGGACAGGCCCTTGCGGGTCTCAAACCAGGCACCGCACAGCTGGCAGTCCAGCTCTCTGCCCCCGTCACTATCTAAAGCTGCGGAGACAAAACACAGGGGGGGGTTCACGGCCGCCACCTTGGCCGGCCCTGGGGGACTGTGGCAGGAGGGTCTGGTGTGACTCGTTGGCTGCCCGGGCAGTTGAGGGGGCCGAGATTCATGCTGTAGGTTCTTCCTGAGAGGTTGGGGGAGACAGGATGACCTGGGCCCTGCCCAGCCCTGTGACATCCAGGTGAGTGCGGAGGGTGGAAGGGTGCTGGAGGGTGCTGGGGGGGCGGCGGGGAGGCAGTGACCAGATCCAGGGGCAAAACCTGACACGCCCAGGCCCTCTTCCTGCTGCGGGAGCTACACGGGGTCGCTGGTGGGTGAGAAGCAGGGGTCCCCATGGCCAAGGGCAGGGCTGTTCAGGGCCCTGCTCCTGGAAGCTCAGCAAGCTCCATGGAAGCAGCGTCAAGGGGACAGGAGGTGCCAACACAGGTGCTGCAGTAGGCGGGGGCCAGGCCGCGGGGTCACCCCCAGACTCTAATGCCAACAGATGTACGGGAAAGCCAGACGTGCTATGGGAAGCCCTCGCTGAACCTGCTCACTGGGCCTGGAGGGTTTCTTCCCAAATCCCCGCTTGCTAGGCCCAAAGGCAGCCCAGGTGGTAGGGCTCCACCTCTGGGCACAGAGAGAAATGCCACTACATGGCACGGCCGTGAAGACACAACAGAGCCAACCCCAGGGATCTCCAGGCTGGAGGAACACGTGTCTACCTGCAGGATCCAAGATGCTCCGCACTCCAGCTAGGGAATCCGGGCCCGTGGGAGCCCTGGTGACCTGCACCCCCTCCACCCTCGGGCGGGCTGTCTCTAAGAGTGACAATGACCCCAGTGGGCTCAGCAGCCATACCCAGCCTCCAGAGAAAACCAGCACAGTACCCGAGGAGAGGGACAATCCGAGTCAGAACAGCCCGACTGTCCCACCTGGCTGACCAAGGACATAGGCACTGCAGTCCCCATCCCCCACCCTGGGCCCTGCAGCCTGATCTAAGGCCCCTGGACCTCCCTCGGCTCCGGGGACCCACACTCACTGAGATTCAGGGGCCCCTCGTCCTCAGACTGGGGCCACTGGGCCTTTGGGGAGGCCGGCCGGGGGCTCAAGGATAGCTGAGGGCCCTTATCCTCAAGATTCTTGTGGGTCGGGGAGCCCGCCAGGGCCAGTGGTGCCTTCTTGAGGAGCGGAGAGTTGGGTGCATGGGCCAGGCCTTTGGCGGAGAAGCCAGGAGGTGACTTGATGGCTTTGTTGACGGCGGGGGCATCCAGGGGCTTGGCCAGGGCGAGGAGGCCCGGTCGGGAGGCCCCGGTGACCACTTCCTTGGGTGAATTGGACTTCTTGGCCAGGCCGGCGGGCAGCCCAAGGGGCAAGGCGGGCAGCCCCTTCTGCTTCACGAGCTCGTAGAGGAGGTCGATGGGGGCGCCGCTGCTCTCCGACTCCGCCACCCCCAGCTGCCGTAGGTGAGAGCGCGCGTGGCTGGACAGCCCCTTGCGGGTCTCAAAGCAGGCTCCGCAGACCTCGCAGGTGGTCAGGCTCTGGGCTGGAGGGCGGGAGAACAGGCTGTGAGGCCCCTGAGACCTTGTGAGCTTCTCCTCCCCCGGGGTCCAACTCACCCAGACTCCGTGGAAGTGTTTTGCATCCATCAAACCCCCTGATCCTGACAATGACCCCCAGAAGGTGCGAGGTTTGCAAATAAGGAAACTGAGGCTCAGCGAGGGACACAGAGGCACACAGCAGAAGGCAGGGCCCTTCCGTGGTCCAGCTGGAGGGACACATTTTGGATCTCTGACGCCAGGGACGCACTGACCTGCCAGCCACGTGCTTCACAAGCTAAATCCCAGCCAGCCTCTGCGGCTCCATCCTACGCAGGTTGGAGGCCCCAGCCAGTCTCTGTGGCCCCCAGCACTCCCTTGTGTAGAACCCTCATCCCTCTATTCCTCTGCTTCCTTGCCCCCCAACTTCAATGTCCCCCGAGGGCAAAGGGCCAGGCCTGCTTTGCTCCTCTCGTGGTGCTAGGGCCTGCCACGGTGCACGTCACTAACAGCTAATGACCTTAGCATCGACAGAATGGGCATCGTGAGGAAGATTCACACAGTTAACAAAGATCGGAGTCGGCATCAAACCAGGTCTGACGTGAGCTCCTGACCACCAGGCCCGTGCCCAGGGAGGGTACAGCCCAGGGCCACGCACACCTGGGGTTGCAGAAGCTCAAGAGTGAACACAGGTGGGTGTCTCCCCGGCGCCGGGGGGAGTAAGCCACGGCCCCATGCTAACCCCAGCCCGAGTCCCCCTGCGAGTGTGACCGGCCTGGCCAGCACCCCCTTCCCTGCCACCTGGGCCACTCACCCTTGAGGTCTGGCAGAGGAGCCCCCCCCCCAGCCACTCTGCTGCTCAGCCGACTGGCCACCTGCTCCAGGGCCCCAGGGACAGGCAGGCTCTTCTTATGGAGCGGGGGGGAAGCCAGGTCCATGGCCACCATTATGCTTTCCTCAGGACCCAGGCCTGCGGGGTTGGGGAGACAGGCTCAGGCCAGGCCAGGCCGAGGCCCGGGCTGTCCACCCCCCAGAAGGACCCAGAGGATGGCCCTCCTGCCTCCTTCCGCATCCTTGGTGCCAGCTTGTACTCTGGGAGGCGGCTTACCCCATAAAAGCTGAGGGTCCACCCATAACCTCCAGCGACCAGTATGAAGCAGGGATGTTGAAGCTGCCCCACCCCGCCCTTGTCCCCCAATACCAGAGACTGGCGGCAGCTTCTACCCACCGTGGACAGGTCGGGGACGCAGTGCAAGTCTGAGCCGAGAGACTCCCATCCTAGGGGATCTCAGAGCAGACATCTCTCTGGGCAGGACTTGTCAGGGGGAGCATCCGTCAGTCGTAGGGGTCGGGGTGGGAGGGGGCGGTCAGAAGGGGAATTGGAGAAAATAAGGATCAGGAGGCCAGAGAAGCAAGGCAGAAGCCCAAAGGTGGCTTCTCTAGACTTGGGAGAGGGGAGCGTCTCTATCAGAGAGGGACGGCTGGGGTTCAGGGCTGCAAAGAGGATGGGGGCCAGGGGGGTGGTCTGTGCATCCCAAGCTGGGCCTTAAGTGTGTGGCGGGGTGAGAAACGGGAGCTAGGGCTGGCTGGGACCTAACAGAGCCAGAGACGGTGAGAATCACAGAACTTTGTCCAAAGTTTCTAAAAGCTCAGATCAGAACAGGAAGCTTCCCCAGGTGAGTGCAGAGGGACTGGAGGATGCGTTTTTCTCCGTCTGATAGTTCAGAGAGGGGGTGGAAGGGGGGGGCTGGCAGGCCTGTGGAGCCCCAAGATGAGAGTCCAGAGAAGACTAGAAAGCTGGGGATGCAGGAACTGCGCGCATGTCAGATGCGGCCTTAGAGACATTAAGATGCGACCCCGGCGGGGGATCACTAGGTCCCCCAGTTGAGTATGAGTCCCACAAAGAAGTTTGGGTTCATACAGAAGATCCGCCGGGGAGGGCAGGGGAGGGGGTCACCGGGGACCAGGACCTCTAGGACTTTGTCAAAGTCTCCAGGGAGGGTGGGCGCGTCTGTCAGATGGGACAGGGAATCCTAGGGGCCGGGCCGAAGTGAGTTTCCGCGCCGGGGAGACCGGAACTGTGGCGAAGGCAACTCCCCAGGCTCCAAAGGGGATAGGGGACTTCTGTCAGGCGGGGCGAGGGTCCGAAGTTGTGGCAGTGGAGTGTTTCCGAGGCCCGGGACCCTGGGAGCAGCGACAGGAGGCCTGGGGCCCGCGCGACTAGAGGGCCGAGGGGGAAGCGGGGTCCGGAGACTGGATGGCGGGCGGTAGGGACGGGGGGGGG